AATAATAATAATAATAATAATAATAATAATAATAATAATAATAATAATAATAATAATATCTTTAGACTTGAAACTATGTGGCTATCACACCCCACTTTTAAGGGGCTAGTAAAGGATTGCTGGATCAACCAATAAAATATATCGGTTGTTATTGACAATTTCACTAACAAGGTCATTTCCTAGAATAAAGATACTTTTGAAAACATATTCAAAAAAAAGAATGAAATCCTTGCTAGGTTAGACGGTATTCAAAAATTCCCTAACTACACGACTAGTGTTTTTTGTCTAACCTAGAATGTGAGCTCATAGAAGAATACCAAAAAATTCTCAAGCTTGAGGAAGAATTTTGGAAACCAAAATCAAGAATTCACATGATACAGGAAGGATATGCTAACACAAAATTTTTTCACCTCACAACTATGTAAAGAAGAAGGAAGAATAGAATTTTTAGTATCATAGATGAGGCAGAAAATTGGTTCCACAACCCTAAGGAACTAAACTCCATCATAACGAACTTCTACAAAAACTTATACACCACGAAGCATACTTTCTCCCATAAGAACAACCTATATATGCCTGTACTTTCCTCAATTAGCCCTCGTAATCATGCTCTTCTCATCAGAGAACCTGCTGAGGGGGAAATCAAGGAAGCACTATTCTCCTTTAAGCCTCTAAAGGCACCGGGCCCGGATGGGCTACACCCTTTCTTTTACCAAAAATTCTGGGGAGAAACAAATAACCTTCTAATCAAACTTATGTAAATGAGTCCTTTAAGAACAAGAAAATGACTGAAGATATGAATAGCACCTTCATATGCCTATTCCAAAGAACCAGAATGTTGAGTCCTTAAAGCAATATAGGTTATCAGTCTCTGCAACACTGCCTATAAAGTTGTTACAAAAATTATAGTAAATAAAATCAAACCCTTTTCTCAATAAAATCATTCATCCAACCCAAACCAGTTTCATAAAAGGGAAAAGAGCCTCAGACAATGCCACAATAGTCCATGAAGTTCAAAATTTCTTTAATAACTCTGGGGGGGGGAGGGGAAGCGAAAATCATGGTGAAAGTTGACTTAGAAAAAACTTTCGATAAGTTAGAATGGTCTTTCATCAGATTCTCCCTAAAATCCCTAAATTTCCCAAACGACCTAATTGAACTAATAATGTCCTGTGTTTTCTCCACCTCTACCTCCATACTCATTAACAGATAAAAAATTGATTTCTTCAACCTTATTAGAGGCAGTAGGCAAGGGGATCCCCTGTCCCCCTATTTATTCATACTATGCATGAAAATGCTATCTAGACTTATCAACCACGAAGTAGACTGCTGTAGATGAAACCCTATAGTCCTGTCAAAAAATGGCCCCCAACTATCCTACATATTCTTTGCTGATGATCTCATACTTATGATGGAGGCTAATCAGAAAAGTTGTGATTCACTCATAGATACTCTCAACAAATTCTACACCTTCTCTGGCCAATCCATAAATTTCAGCAAATCCGGGGTAATTTTCTCAAAATATACACCACCTGACAAACAATTCCTATTTAGCAGTTGCCTCAACATTAAAATCCCAGATTCAGTGGGAAAATACCCGGGGTTCCCTATGACAAACTCAAGACTGTCTAAAAAAGACTTCCAATTCATCATTGATAAAAACAACAGCAGACTAAAAGGCTGGAAAACTCACTTCCTAAATCTAGCAGGAAGAATAACTCTCATTAAAGCAACTCTTGCAGCCATTCCTAATCATACTATGCAAATATTCAACCTCCCAAAAGCATCCCTAAATAAGATTGACTCCGTACAATGAAACTTCTTATGGGGAAGTACGGAGGAAAAAAAGAAATCCCATCTTCTAAATTAGAACAAAGTCACCAAGCCAAAAAGCAAAGGAGGCTTAGGGCCATATAAAACCCAATGCAAAAATGATGCTTTTAGTACTAACTTGACATGGAGATACTTTAGTAATAAGGAGGCCTTATGGGTCCAAGTGTTGCGTAGCAAATATGAAAGTAGAACCAATTCAAACAACAGGTTCAACCCCAGACCATCGGAATCCCACATTTGGAAAAATATCTGCAAAGGAAATAAGGTATGTGAGAAAGGCACCAAATGGCTCATAGAAAATGGAAAGAATATCAAACTTTGGGACAATCAGTGGATTAGTCATGGAGACACGCTAAAAAATCTTATCCAGGGGCCTCTCAAAAAAGAAAAAGTGGACAAGAATATGAAATCCATTATACAAGACGGCTACTTTAACTTCTCAAAATTATCTTTCGAACTCCCTGAAGACATAATTCAAAAAATCCACAACATCTATATACAACAATTCCAACCAAGTAGGGACAACATTACATGGAATTCCCCAGGGTACAACTCATTCTCTATCAAGGCAGCCTATGATGTACTCTCTAACCAAGACAACACTGAATTAGACAACAACTTAGACTTTAGTTGGATCTGAAAAAGCATTACCTTGAACAAACTAAAATACTTCATATGGCTGCTCGTCCTTAACAGACTTCCAACAGCCGCTCTTCTAGCAAAACGCAATATCTGTCCTTCTGACACATGTAGCATATGTGGATTGGAAAAAGAGGATATCAAACACTTGCTATTCAGATGTACTTACTCAAGGGCAATATGGGGACAATGCCACATAAAGCACAACTATCCCCAATCGGATAACGAGCTCACTACTTTCAATTGGCTGAAACAACAACTAAAATCAAATAAATGCTTTATTCACTACATCAGCTGGCCAGTTTTCCTACCCTTCCTCCTCTGGTATATATGGACCACCAGAAATGAAAAGATCTTTCAAAAAAATAACTTATATCCCAATATTAGCCTAGCAACCAATAGTGCCCAGGAATTCCTCTTCCTAAGCAAATGGAGCCCCTCCAATATACCAAAAAGACCATCCATACAAAATGGGAACCCCCCACCACGGAGCTATTTAAACTAAACATCGATGGTTCTTGCCTAGAAAACCCAGGAATAGGAGGAATATTCAGGGATAGTAATGGCAATTGGATACTAGGATTCAATATGGCTTTGCTCATGCTACAAATATCCAAATGGAAGCTATATCTTTACTACATGGTCTAAAACTAGCCATCCAAAAAAGACTAACCCCTCTAGTCATTGAAACAGATTGTCAGGAACTAATTAACTTGATAAATAATGATAATTGTCTTTATCAAAATATTATTGATGACTGCATATTCCTATTATCTGAGGCGGGTACGCCAACTTTGAAGCATGCATCCAGAGAAGCTAGTGGAGTAGCGGATACATTAGCCAAGAGTGGATGCAGCTTGGACTCTTTTGCTAATTTAATGTTGTACTATTATCCGCATGTTTTTGCTATTTCAGTTTTTGATAGAGATGGAATAGACACCTTGTGGCCTAGACAAATCTCATGTTATAATGGCTATTAAGCACTATGTTTTAATTAAATGTTTTATTTACCAAAAAAAAAATCTAATATGTAAGCCCTTTTAGGTAAATGCATGATTGAAACAATATATGTTCACATATCTTTCTTGCCTCCCAGTCCCATCCCAGGATTACTAGTCTACGAATGCTAGTACTATTTATTTGAATAGTTTCATTGGCAATAATGTGGTATTTTTTGTCTTTATTTCATGCTGTCAGTCATCATCTAAATAAGTACCCTAAAGTCCAAAATGAAATCAATCAGTTTCAGGGCAGAGTATCTTGTCCAACAAACACAAAAGATATATATCAGAAATTGATTTGGTGTTTATAAAGTTCTAGGTGTGTCTTCTTCATTGCTCTAAATGTCAAAAGCGAAGTTTGACAAATTAAAAAACACACACACACACGAGAAGAGATGCATATTAGCAAACACCGAGAATTGTCAGATATAGATAATCCAAAGTCACTATCTTAAGAATAATACAGCACAAAACCTATGAAGATGACCACGATTAAAACTCAAATGGCTAATACTCCTGTATTGGAAGGGCAAACAAAAAATAAATAGGAAAAAAGAAACGTCAAGTCGTCAGTCTCATTACATACAAAGACTCTGGTTTCTACAATTAATTGTGTCCATCTTTTTTTATAATTGCTAAGGGCCATAATAGTATGGTAAAGTAGTAGAACTATTTGGAAACTTTTCCAGTGCTTGAACCACCTCTCTCATGCCTGGTCTCTTCTGAGGCGTTGGTGATATACAGTTATACCCAACTTTCAACAATGCCAACAAGGTATCTTCTTTCCCTTCCATGTCAGCACGGATCGCCACATCAGCCAACCTTAACACTTTACTCTTCTCTTCACCTGCGGAGGTGGCAGCTCCGATGGGTCCCATTTCATCCGAAACAATCACTTTTCCAGTTAGCAACTCCAGCAACACTACCCCAAACGAGAATACGTCCCATTTCGGGTTGGGTTTCAGGCTACGAAGCGACTCGGGTGCATGGTAAGGAGATATGCCCAATGCACTTGGACTTGGGCTAGGAGTAGGCCCAGATGCGAAGTCCTGGAAGCTATCTCGAGAGGCTGTGGACCTCTTGCTACCAAAATTACGAGCTGATCCATAGGTCTTATGACTGCTATCTCCTGTTACAAGCCTTTCAATTCCAAAATCTCCAATCTTGGGTTCCATATCTGCCCCGAGTAAAATGTTACTGGGTTTCAAATTGCCGTGTACGTGCTTCTTTTCATGAATGTAAGTGAGCCCACGGGCCACGCCTTTAGCAATCTTTAGCCGGATTTCCCAGGGTACGTGACACGGAGAAGAACCAGCTTTTTCTGAAATCACATGAATGCACACTGTTAGTATAAGTAAGTATTTCACACCAGCAGGTCAATGTGATCGAGCTATAAGAACATGTAATTTGCAGTAAATGTAATTCGATAACTTAGAAAATAAAGTGAATAATTTCATATAACTTGTTGAAATACATTGGTCTTTGTTGATCTTGAGTCCCCTACACAAAGGAAATGCCTGAATTGCGCACACAACCAAAAAAGCATACGCATGGCCTACAGAGCAATATGTTAAAAATGGCAGTCATTTTCCATGCAAGTGACAAGTAGAAGAGGGGCGTTTGGCGTATTATGCAATTTTGGATGTGTATATCGCAATCAGGGACAGTGGGCCATTCAGAAGTAGACACGGTTGACTTGCAGTGAACTACCGCTATTTCCACATTAAAAACAAAGCCTTTAATTAGTTACAACTACTCCACCACCTCCTTTACTTCCCCGTCCCCGCACATTTTATCAGAAATTTGTACTACTATGATTTTTCCAAGTTGCGCTAAATATTCCTTCTTTATTTTGAATATTAATTGGACCAATGTCAAAAGAACACAACAAACTATAAACTTTAATATTTCGAAATGTTAAAGGACTACAATTATTCAATTGAAAGAAATTAGGTAATAGGTAGTACTAGTCATATAAATCAATTTCAATTTTGAGAATTTTATCCTCCAAACTCTAGTCAACAACCTTTCTCTCTTACAATTGACACACAAATTTCCCCCTCTAACACGCATTGACCAGCCAATTTTCAGGCAATTGTATTAATTTAATCTCAAGTGTAAACCAACTAATTTAGGAGCATAATAATGAAGATTACTCTGTATTACCAACCAGTGGCGGAGCCCCTCATTGGCTAGAGGAGTCAATTGATACCGCATACATAGGTTAAATGTTTTATTTTGATGTATATATGTTGACCCCCTTTAATATTTTCATATGCTTTCTTATTTATATTTTGACTCCAACACTGTTACCAACTCTAACACCGTAAAATAACAACAATGAAGGCAGTTATGTTATTGAAGTGTAATTTATTGCCAACTTAAACATGGACTTCAGTTTTTTTTTTTTTTTTAAAATCTAGTATTAACGATAGCATGAAAACAGCAAAAAATGGAAAAAGGAAGACTTACTGTAACGTGCATTAGCAAGGCTGCCATTAGGAACGAAATCGTAGATGACCAGTTTCTCTTCAGCACCCCAGTAGAAGCCACGGATTTTAACCAAATTTGGATGCACCAATTTAGCAATTACCTTAACCTGATTCTCGAAATCTTTAAACCGTTCGACGCCGCTTTCTCCAATCCGCCGCACAGCCAGTGTTGTCCCATCTTCTAACACCGCCTTGTACATTATACTCGAACCACTAGCTCCCAAAATGTAAGCTGATGCTTTAAGCAATGTCTCTAACTCAAGCTCTCTTTCTCCATCAACCGTTACCAATTCCCCTGTTTTCTGCTCTGTTGTCACGTGATTTTGCTGACCTTTTAGGGATATTTCACTTTCTTGGCTCTCTGAATTGGAAGTTTCTGATAAATCGTCACCATCTCCGTGCCTTGGTTTTTTCAAACAAGTCCATGACCTTAACCAGTTGTATTCTTCTGAAGATGCTGACGATGCCCAGTCAAAATCTTTTGCAGTTTCGGCTTCTTGCTTTATCGTACTTTCTATTCTTTTCTTCTTTTTGGCTCGATATACGTACATGAAAATCAGTGCTAGAACTCCTACTGCTGCAATATCCCCAGCTATTATGCCTATAATTGTGCTAGTTTTCAGCCCACTTTTTCCTCCTTTAGAAGAGCCGTTTGGGGATGCTGCTGCTGGGTTTGAGTCAATGGTCTTGGGAATGGCTGCAATTGCTGGAGAAGAAGTTGGTTCAGAGGCATTTGGTAGAGTTGTTATGGTAGAAGGAATTGGACACAAATTTTTCAGAGGGTCACCACATAATTCGGGATTCCCAGAAAAAGCTTTTCTACTTTGGTTGACAAAAACACTAGACTCTGGAATTGCACCACTGAAATTGTTGTAGGAGAGATCTAAGGTTGCATTTTGAGGAATTTTGCTGCCAAATTCTGGTGGGATATCTCCAGAAAGTCTATTAAAAGAAACATTAAAGTAACGGAGATTATTGCCTCCAAAATTGGGAGGCAACGATCCATTAATCAAATTAGAAGACAGATCTAAAAATTGAACTGACTCAAACCCAACAGGAAGAGAACCAAAAAAGTAATTATCTTTCAACGAAACAACAGCTAGGTTACGAAGACTAGTCAGATTTGCCGGTAACCTTCCCGCCAAAGAGTTACCGGAAAGATTAAGAAACTGAAGATTCTTTAAACCTCCGACGAGCTCAGGCAAGTCGCCGGAGATTCTGTTATTAGAAAAATCAAGTTTTTTCAGCTCAGGGGCAGTAAACAGAGTAAGAGGAATAGACCCATTAATGGAATTATTAGAAAGATCAAGATTTGTAAGATATTGAATCATACCAAGACTAGAAGGAACAGAACCAATAAGCTGAGAATTGGGAAGAGACAACCCTATCACTCGTAGGTTTGGGTCTGAAACATTTGAATTTCCACAAGTTACCCCTGTCCATAAACATGGCGTCTCATTCCAAGAATACCACTTTTGCAACACACCTAAAGGGTCACTCAGAATATTATACTTGAATGTCAGTAACAAAACTCCATCAGTATTAAGCCCAGAAGCTTGAAATGCAAGTAGAAGAAAAACAATAATCCTCCTCCACCATAAATGGAGATCAAAGATTTGGAATTTCATGTTGTCTCAAAATGTTCCCACATCTCTATTTTTTCTCTAGAGAGAGAGAGGAAACTACTTGATTAATAGAGTAGAGAAAAAAAAAAGGCAAAAAAGAATAAGTGGGATTTATGATACAAATGGGACCATGTGAAGCAGTGAATAGAAGTTTTTTTTTTTTTTTTTAAAAAAAATAAATATTGAGACCAAAATGCAGAAACACACACACACAGCTCACCGAAAACCAACCTTCCTCACCAATATGCTTTGTTCAGACCATTGTAGATAGCATTAAGTATTTAAGATATAGTACTTCACCATTAATTGCTTTCAATATCTACTTCTGTAATTTCCTTTTTCCAATGCTTACATATTTGCTAACGTTTGCCAAGACATACTACTTACATTGTATATTCCTGTTCCAAAATACAATGTTTTAAAGTAATGGAAAATAAAGACTTAATTAAGTTAAATAAGGGAATAGCATCTTTAGTAGCTAGGTGACACCAAGGTAGGGTTAGATTTTGCAGAACTACTCTTATACACATGGACTTTAGAAAATGGTTCTCCTTATAATTATTAAACATTATGGCTGTCTTATTTATCATTTTCCATGTGACGAACAGAGATTTTTACTGCAGATTATTTAGATTTTTTTCCAGAAATTGTAGTGCTGGACTATGATTTGTTAAACTGGATCTGAAAGTACTACGTAGTATATATTTAGTTGCATTTAAGGATTCCTCCAGTGTTTTCACGGGACACAAGTTGTATGTTCTGCTAACGTTGGGATTTATTAAAATCAAAAGTTTCAGACAATTCACCTACTAATTAATTATAGTAGATAAGACATATATTAAAAAGGGGTGTGNCTTTGAATTTAAAATATTTGATATTAGGCCTATAATGGATCAGATTCATGAACTGCAAATCTTACTATCAAAACTAAGTGATCTTGAAGTTAAATTTCCTGATGCACTTCAAATAGGTGCTATTCTTTGGAAATTGCCTTCCTCATGGAATGACTATAGAAAGAAATCCTATATTCTATGGATAAAATGAATGTGGAACAATTTCGTACTCACATTCAAATTGAAAGTGAGACTCGTGCTCATGATGCTATTAGTCAGCCTTCGAGTTCCGCAGTCAATTTTGTCAGTCAGAATGATTCAGGAAGTGGGAACAAACATCTGAAAGTTTCCAAAAAGTCTTCTTTTAAAAAGAGAAAGAACTTTAGTTGTCAGCATTGTAGAAAGAAAGGCCATATGATTCGGGATTGCAGATATAGAAAGGCAGGAATAAATTTTAATGCAGGCAAAACCGAAAAGTCTGGAAAGATTTAAAAAATCTGGAAATTCTGAAAAGGCAAACGTAGTGGAAAATTCTACCCAAGGACTGGTTGTCATGGTTTCCGCAATGCAAATTGATATGGTCACNAGGGGGGGGAGGGGAGGATGAAGTCATCTGGTCAAAAAATCTGTTCTTCAAAGGGAGTCTGGTATTAGTGGCTATGAATTTGTATAACATAATTTTGAATAAATTACATTAACTTGGTTTTGTTTTTCAAACAAATTTTAAGGGGTAAAAGGTTCAACATATTGAAAATCAGGCTCGCATGCTCAAATTCAAATGTTGACATTTTCATCATCGGACTATTTATTTGAGAACATTAATTTGTATCTTTTCATGAAATTAATAAGGTACATTTATGTAAGACATGTCATCCACGCGAGAGTTCTAAATTAGGAAACTTCTAAATCTATCATATAGATAGCAATGTTAGCTATGAGTGTACTCATAATTAATCAATAGACGAAAATATAGATCTTCTGATTAAGTCTGGTTTCACGTAGTTGAGCTGAAAAGAAAGATAGTTTGAATAGCATCAAGAGAAACCTTTTTTTTTTTTTTTTTTGAAAAATCCCTAAGACTAGCGGGTTATGAGTTGGATATTGTTACTGTAAGATAGTTTGTTATTGACAAGTTGGAAGTGAGATTCTTCCCACAACGGAAGAAAGAAGTTCCGTGCCTGTCATGTGAAAC